CGCGGGCGGGGAGCGGCTAGGCGGGCGGGAGCTTCGGAGCCAGCGCGGGGATCCGTTCCCGGGATTGCGGCCACGGGCCCACGTGGACCTGGGCCGTGGTGGGACCCGAGCCCGCCCCCCCGCGTGGAGGAGGGGACGCGCAGCAGGGTTCCCCTTTTTGTGCAGCTCAAATCCTGGGGAAGTGATTGCTCAAAGGTGGGGGCCGGAAGAGCCCCGGTTTCCGCGTCTCCTACCCCCAGAGCCTAGTGGGGAGGGGCCGGGAGGGACACCCCGACTGCCCCCGCCCCACCCCACTGTGTAGGGTCTGGCACCCACTGGGCCCTACGAGCTGCATAGGAGGCGCTGCACCCCGGGCCCCAGCCTTCCTCCAGAACGCCGCAGGAGTACCTCCTGCCGTCTGATCTGAGTCCCTGGTGCTGCAGAGCACGCCCCTTCGGCAGTCAGGGTGGGGCCCAGACCGAACCAGGCCCTCCCGCCCCCGCCCCGCCTTTGGGTCGCTGGTGAGTAGGGCGCCTTGGCGAGTTCCCTAAGGGAGGGGTGGGAGCGTGAGAAGCTGGAGCAAGGGGCCCTGCAGACGAAACAGGCCCCTCCGGATAACCCCACCAGCAGAGACACGAGAAAGATGGAGGGGTTGTCCTGCTGTCTCAGGTGGGAGTCAGCAGGACTAGGGGGACCTGGCCTGTCTAGGGAGGGGCCCGCTGGAGTTGCAGTAGAAAAGGTATGGGTAGGACAGCAATGCGAATAGAGCCCCTCTGTCAACGCCCCTCCCAAAGGTTATGACATTTTTCTGGAATTGTCACATTTTTAAATTCTTTTTTTGGACTGGGCAGACTCCAGGACGTTCTTTTTCCTTCTGTGGAGCAAAACAGCAACCACTCCCCAGGGAGCCTCTGTCCCCAGAGATCAGACTTGCTGCCTGTCTGGCCTCTCCCAGCCTGAGGACCAGAGCAGGTGGGGCTGGGGAGCAGGAGAAGCCCCCTAATAAGGGGTAGGAGAACCCTAATTCAGACCCTGTGCCCTCCGGAAAGGAGACAGCCCAGGCAGACCTGGGGACTTGAGTGGCCCCACTGCCCTGAGAAGGTGCAGTGAGCCAGGTCCAGAGCCTACAGCTGGAAGGAGCTGCTTCTCATCTCTTTACCAAACTGGGCACCTCACAGAACCCCACACCATCTCTGTCTCCAGTGCAGAATTGGGTGGAGATGGAGGCTCTGAAGGACAGTGCAGGTGGGGAAATGGAGGAGGAAGACTAGGCCCTGAGTACCCCACAGACCTCAGGCTGCCACGCCCCTTCCTTTCTCTAGAAGCTTAACCCCCAGAAGAAAGCCCAGCTCCAGCCATTTGCAGGGACCCATGATCTTAGAGGAAGAGGGGCAGGTGGTGAGGGACTGAGGCCTCCAGTAGGTGCCCCACGTGTGCAGATCTCAGCATCATCCCCTCTTACCACTCAGTTCTCAGAGGCCTAGAGAGGCCAACTGGGGTAGAAACAGGATTAGAAGGCCACGAGCAGCGGGAGGGGCAGCAGGAAGATGGAGTAAAGGAGAAGGAACCAATTCTCAAGCCCTCTGCCACTGAGGAGAATGGAGGACTGCAGAGAGTGCTTCACCTGGACAGAGGTTGCAGGAGCATTCAGAACTGCCACCAGGCCACTGAATGGCCACCTTGCTCTAATGCCCTTGGGATTTCTGGGCTTAGCAGGTGGCATGTTTGCTCCCTGAGAACCCCGCTGTCAAGGTACACCCCAAACACTATTTGGGAAGGATAAACCACCTGTACATCTCCCTTCTCAGCCCCCCAAGCTGCCCCTTTCCCTGGCTAGCAGGCCTATGTGTTTCTCCAGCCTGAAGGTCTTGAGCATGGAGGGAGCGAAGCTAGGGTTTGCAGGACAGGTGTAAGAGCGCCTGAGGACCACAAAAACCTTGTTCTGGGGCACAGATCCCTCCTCACCACTGCACGCCCCACTCCCTGCACCTTCAGGAAGTCCTGCCCCAAATCAAGTCCTTGCTGCTGGCCTTCCCTACCACCCCTGCCAAGTGCAAGGGGGAGTGGTAGCCCCAGCCCCTTGGGAGGGGCTAGGCACAGGAAACCAAGAAAGAGGAACCCAGGCTTCCGGCTTCCCTGGCACTGAGCAGATGGGGGTGTCCCAGAACAACTTCTGGGGGCGTCATTTGGGGCCCAGCCTGGAGTGAGGGGCCAGAAGCTGCTGCAACACACTCCTTTCTGACCTAGCCCTGGGGTTGGAGGCACAGGCTCAGGCTGGGAGGTAGAGGCAGGGCTCAGAGGTTCTCAGGAACCCTCTAAGAGCTATCAGTAAAAAATACTCAGTCAAAACCTTGGCTCCTCTCCCCAGACCCCCAACCTGTGGTGAGGGTCCTGGAACCGGCACCACGGAGCCTGGGCAGCCCCTTCCATCCACCCATGCCCACCCCGAATGAGGCTGAGAAGCAGGTATGCCACTTCCTCCTCCCTTCTTCCTGAGCAGTGGGGTGGGCAAGCTGGGGAGAGTTGCTGAGATCTGGATACCTGGGGGCTGAAGGGTCATGGCTGTTGTGGCTGCAGCAGCTCTGTGTGTCCAGTGGGCTCTGGCCTGTAGGCTGAGGCAGCCTTATCTTCCTCAGCACACAGGGCCAGAAGAGGCGGACAGGCCCCCCTCAATGTCCAACCATGATGTGGCCCCCCGGGCGGCCCCTAGCCGCAACCCTTGCTGCTTGTGCTGGTGCTGCTGTTGCAGCTGCTCCTGGTATGTGAACCTGGGAACACAGCTTGCTCGGGGTTGGGGGGTGCCCACCCAGGTCCCTGCTCCCTGGGCCTTTTGGTGGCTTCCAATGCATTACCTGTGGGCAGACTGCCCCTGCCAGCGCAGCACCATCCTGTCCAGGAACTGCTGGGAGAACTATGGTGCAACAAGCCGGTCCTGACTCTCCAGACTGCAGTGGGGGGCACATTAGAGCAGAGACCCAAATGAGGGAGCATATGGCCCTGGAGCACAAAGGCACTCCTGTCTTTGGGCATCTGCAAGGGACAGGACTGGGGCTTCTGGGTATGTGGCTTCTAGGACTTCCTAGAAACATGAGGAAGCTGGCAGGGCCTTAACAGAGAGGCCAGGTCCTATCCAGGCTTGAGAACCCCGAGGGGTCAGCTAAATAAGTACACAGCTGAGATCTAACCCCAGGCAAGACACAGGGATGGAGAGCAGCAGGATGTGGAGCAAGGGTTGTGTTGCTGCTAAGAAGGAACAGGGTGTGGTGCGAACAGTTCTGTTTAAACTTTCGTCAGCTGATGGATTGGTCAAGTGGACATGGACTTGGATCTAGCCCTGACAGGGAAGAAGGAGAGAGCCAGGGATCAGGATCCAGGACTGAACAGGATAGACATAGGACAGGGGCTCTCACCCTGCATCAGCCAGCAAGTCATGCTGTTGATATTGGCCCTACACTATGGGTCTGTTGGTGGCCTCTTTAAGAAAGGGATGAATCAAGGACAGACTAAGGAACAGGGTCTTACACAATAGGCCAGGGAAGGGGAGGGATGCCAGGAGCCTGCAGAGTCCCAGAAACAGGAGGAAGAGTGCCAAGGCTGTGGCCTGGTTACTTTGGTCAGGATACCAACCTAGACAAGCAGATTCAGTAGGGAGACAAGGAGGTGTGAAAAGGGCCAGCTCCAGTGGCTACCCTGCCTGTGGCAGGCTGACATGTGTGCCAAGCTCCCGTGTGTCATGCTTGCCTATGTGTCAAGTCCCACGTGTGGCCTGGATGGTGCCCAGGTGCCTGGGTGCCCAGGGCATCCCACCTTCCTTTGCTGCCAGGAACCAAGAGCGGCGACGAGCATGGCAGGCCTCCCGTGAGAGCAAGCTGCAGCCCCTCTCCACCTGTGAAGCTTGGTGAGTCTGGCCTCAGTGTGCACGTGTATTGGGGAGTAGGGTGGAACCAGGTGTGACACCCTTGTCCCAATGCCGGCAGTGCCCCACCAAGCCCCGAGGAGGTACAGAGCTGGGCGCAGTCCTTCGACAAGCTGATGCACAGCCCCGCGGGCCGCAGTGTGTTCCGAGCATTCCTGCGCACAGAGTACAGCGAGGAGAACATGCTCTTCTGGCTGGCCTGTGAGGAGCTGAAGACTGAGGCCAACCAGCACGTGGTGGATGAGAAGGCACGACTCATCTACGAGGACTATGTATCCATCCTCTCCCCCAAGGAGGTGCGCTGGCCGCTGGGATGGGTAGGGCTAGCTTGGGGAAGGCATCTCTTGACGTCAGTGCCCTATCCCACAGGTGAGCCTGGACTCCCGAGTACGGGAGGGCATCAACAGGAAGATGCAGGAGCCGTCTGCACACACATTTGATGATGCACAGCTGCAAATCTACACTCTTATGCACCGGGACTCCTACCCTCGCTTCCTTAGCTCCCCCACCTACCGTGCCCTGCTGCTCCCAGAGCCCCCACAGTCTCCCTCTGAGGCCTAGGCCACTGCTCATGGGCAGAGTCCAGGCTCACACCCATGGCTCCACCTGGCTGGATGAGGGTCCCAAACCTTGGAACCAGACCCAGTCCCAATGGGAAGTACCACACCCCCTGGCTCTGTCTTCCCTGGTCAACAGGAATTCCAGCCACAAGGCCAGATGGAAGCCCCTCAGCAGCCTGAAGCTGCCAGCCTAGTGCTCCCGACAGCCCCAGGATGTATGTTGGGTCCATAGCCTTGGTGAAGCCTCCTTCAGGCAGCTATGTATCCAGGACATGCCTTTAGGGGAGAACAGAGCCTCTACACCATCTACTTTGTACCAGGACACACTGCTGCTTGAGCTGTCTGCACCTCAGAACCAGATGTGGAACCTCAGAACCAGGCTCAAGTGACAAGATCTGATTGTATTTTATATGTTCATGAACATTAACCTGGGAACATATCCTTGCTGTATGTTTTATCCAAAAGGAGGGGGAGAGAAATACTTTATCCATTTCTCTGCTCCCTAAAAACAGGATGTCTTATCCTTGAAGATGTTTTCAAAGTGGGAGCCTGTTTATTCCCACTTTTGGGTTATTAGAGCACAGGAATCAGCCCAGACTCGGCCCGCAGCTTGGGCTCCACCTGCGCCCTGCACAACAGTGGCTTCAGTGGGTGACTGCTCAGCCTGCCCACTGAGCTCTATAACCTGGCCTCAGCCTTCGGAGCTGACGTGGGGCTAGCCTGTGTGAAGGCTTGAGATGCAACCAGAAGTATTGCTACAGAGTCACTCGTGGTAGCACGTCTGTAAACCCAGCACTCAGGAGACTGAGGCAGGAGGCTCACTACAAGTTCAAGGCCAGCCAGAACTATATAATGAGATCCTATCTCAAAAAAAAGGTATCAAAGGTCTCTTGGAGGGACCAGCTGGGACAAGGCACTGATGAGATGGCCTTCCCCAGGGTCCCCTGGAGCTGGGCACAGTGCCATCTTCATCTCACAGGCCCCATGGGACAAGCAGCACACATTCCCCTGTATTTCTGGGACCTTAAGTGACCTGAAGCTAAAATTACCCCAGGGGCCTGAGGACCGCCCCCCTCACTGAGTAGAGGCAGGATGGGGCAACCCATTCCAAAGGAAAGGCCAGGATCTGGCCTGCCTGTGCCTGAGGAGTGCTGGTAGACGCTGGGCAGAGTGCCCTAAGACCCCTCAGAGGACCCTAGGTTGTCTGCATCTGCACAATGCCCGCCCCACCTGCCAACATAGCCAGTTTCATTGGACTTTCCCCCCATGTGTGCACATGCACACTTGAGACACACACCCCAGCATCCTAGAATCACAGCACAGGTGATCTCTCAGTGCTGTCCCTCGAGGGTTAAGCCAAGCATTGCCCGACCCCAAGGAGGAGGAGTATTCGTGGCACAGAGGATGGACCAGACACAGGATGGGGCCCAGCCGTGTTCAGCCCACCAGGAGTAAGGTCCAAGGATGGCAAGATGGCAAAACGAAACATTTAATAATAATGAGGGGCAAAAGGCAGAACAATGCATGCCAAGCAGGCAAGCTGGAGCAAGCATGCCATCTTCTGGGGGGTCTCCAGAGAAGCTGTGTCCACCAGGAATGTGGGAGGCCATGGCCTGGCCTGGGACTGTAGCACATCTGCATGATGGCTTAGCAGAACTGCAAGAAGGCAGGGAAAGACATCCAGCTGTGGCCCCATTTGACCTCCAGGGCAAAGGCAGGGCAGTCACCCAGGGTTGGGGTCCCCACTCACTATCCTCCAGACTCCCAGGAAGGTCACTACCCATGGCTAGCCCTGGTCCACACCATGGGATCCCCTGAGGCAAGACTCCAGAGAATGGGCTGGGAGGAGTCAGCCTGAGCCCACCCACCTACCTTCCAGCGGTTTCCACATTCATTGCAGACAACGAAGGTGGTCATGGGTTCATCAGAGCTGCGAGTCTGCACCTGTGGGAGGGTGGCAGCACACAGGTCACACTAGGTTCTGCTGCAGAGGGCTGGTCCCTAACCTAGGCAGTACTGGCATTGCCAGCTCCTGAACCTTGGTACATGACCTCATCTTAGGCTGCCCAGTGACCCCAACCTCCCAGTGTTGGCCCCATAGGGTAGGTGAGCCACCACAACACAAACCCTTGTGTGGGCCTGAAGGGCCTCTGCAGAGCCCAGGCTGGAGCTAAGGGTAGAAAGGACCCCAACAGTTGAGGCACCATGGAGGGAGAAGAGTAGGGATTCCAGTGGCTGTGCCTCCTGTCCAGAAGGACCAGGGCCAGTCCTGGCAGACACTGGGTGCTGAGCCTGCCTTATACACATTCAGGTCCCCTGCAGCCCAAAGAGAGAGCAGTTTCTACCACCTCTCTTGAGAAGGTTCATCTGACACAGCCACCACCTCAACCCACTCCTCTCCTCCCAAGCCCTCACCATCCCTTGGAGTCCACAAAGTCTCCCCTGAGCACCTCAGCATCCACTTGCACAGCAGGGCCGGTGTCATCTGTGCTGGGCAGGATCAAGCCCCCAGCTTTAGCACCCTAGAACGCGTAGGGTCCATCACCCAAGATGCTGTTTATGGGGAGTTTGGGGTCCTGGTTGAGCGGGGGTAATCCCTTAAGGCTCAAGGAAAAACCAACACTTGGGACATCTGCTCTGGCACCATTTTGCAGGTATAAGGGTGGCTCCTGGCCACACAGGAAGTGCTGCAGGTGCCCTGAAGACATGGGCCTAGGACAACTTGCCTGTGTATAGGTGCAATTCTTCTTTCTGCACTTGCCACAGGTGAACAAGTCTGTCTGTGTGCCACCTGTGCGGGCCATCTGGTGCTCCCGGATGGCCTCCTTGGTCATGGCCTTGCGGATCTCTTTCAGCTCATCACTTGCCATCTCCTGGGGTGAGGGGCCAAGTATTTAGCCTGCAACTCTACAGAAGCAGCCCCCAGTCCCTCCTGTGCGGCTCACCTCCGATGTCATCACTGCAATCTGCTGGGGCGTTATGGCACCACATAGCACATTCCTCCGAAGCTCTGGGTTCTTGGCGTCCTTCAGGTTAGAGATGCGACTCCTCACACGATTCTTGTACTTCATGTCTGTGTTTCCCACATCCCGGAAGATGCGTGCAGGTGTTTAAGGACCCATCTGAGGCCAGTGAGCTGCACCCACCCAGCACCCATCCTGCAGAATGTGGGGAACGTTCTGCCCAGCCATGCAGGAGTCAGTCCTCCAACCCAGTCCTGATGCGGAGCTGGAAGCTACAGCACCTCACTTCCCTACACCCATTCCTGGCTGAGGCCTAGGCCTCACCAGCAGGCAGAACTGGGCCCTTGGCCCACCCAGGGAGGGCCCTGCTGGGCCAAGACATCCCCCTCACACACACGCACCCTAGGAAAAGGCAGGATATATCCCAGGGAGGGTACTGGCAGCTCAGTAGTGGTGTCCAGCAGCCCCTAGATGGAGCCAGGCCCCATGGCCTATATACACCAACTGAAGCCTTGGCCCCACAAGCCCTGCACAAAGGATATACTCCTCGATCTGAGCCGACAGACGCTCACAGTCCGCGCCAACTGCCACGTGGTCGTCTGCAAGAGGGAGCCCTCACTAACCATCCCACAGCTTCTCCACCTGCTACCCTCCTGCCTATACAGCACCTTGGTGGCTACAGGGAACACTCACATCCCCGGGAGACACTGCCCAGGACCCAGGTGCTCTGACAACCCCCAAAGAGCTCCTGCATCCTCCCAGGGACAGGACCAGCAGGCTGGGGAAGGAGGCCTCTGCAGCAGCAGGCTGTGCTGTATAGCAGGGCGCGTCCAGGCCAGGGCTGCCGGGCACTCACGGTCTGTCTGCAGGGCGGTGGTTAGCATCTCACGACACTTGTTGCGTACAGCATCACAAGTAATGGGCACCGGAGGAAATGTGGTGATCCTTGGGGTGGATGGCATTCTGGGCAGCTCCAGCCTCTTACGGCTGAAGAGAGACAGGGCACACTGGGCTCAGATGCAAGGGCACAAGCACCACAATAAGATGCCAGTCCCCAGAAAAGCAGGTGTCAGAGCACCTTCCCTACCTCCACAGCACATTTGCTCCACCCTGACTGATTCCAGCATGGCTTTGCTCATCTTCATTCAAGCCCAGTGTGCCCATGAGGTCTGCCCAACTAGCTGGAGGAGAAAGTGGGCCATGGGGTCCCCAGTGGGTCAGGGCTCATTCCCTAAATAAGCAGGGTGGGCTCCCGCATGGCTATGTGGACATCAGCAGAAGCAGGCGGCTTCCGGGAGCAAATCAACCACATAGTGTACTGATGAGCTCATACTGCACATCCACACCAGGAGTCCGGAGCTCAGCCTGGCCTGACCTGAGCCCAGCCACTGCTACCCAGTTTGCCCAAGAACAAAGTTGCCTCTCCACCACAGCCTGTCACCGGGAACACCCTGGTCTGCACAGCAGCAGGGCCCTGAACACCCTTCCTGGGGCAGTGGTGGTCACGCGTGCATGCAGGGCAGGAGAGGGAGTCAGGTAGCTGCCTTTGGTTCTAGGCCAGACTTTGTGGGAAGGCTCCCATCCTTGAGTGACACCAGGCTGAGGGAGACAGGCAGAGCAGGCCAATGAGAACCAGATTCAGGACAGGGTCACAAGAGAAATATGCAGAGGGTTTCCTTAGGCCAGCTAAGGACCTGCAGCAGTGCCCTGCTGAGGAAGATGGCAGGAGTCTCCCTGACAACAGGGCAGACATGGCCACCTATCTCAGATGGTGGTGGCAGGGGATCTCAACTATGAAGTTGACCAACCCAGTGTATGACCCTCTGAAGAAAGCCCTCCCTCAGAGACGCATCCAGGAACATGGACATCAGCTGTGGAAATGGAGGCCAGTAGAGAAGAATGTGTCCCTCCTTCAGGTGTGCTACCTGGGATCCACGGCCTCTGAGGCATTCTTTGTGGATGATGTAGGTAGAGGTGTGTCCCTCCCTCGATCCCTGGTTTTACCATCGGAAACATCTGTCATTGTCAGAAAACAGGGGGACAGATTGGTGAGGGGCAGGAGAGCAGGGGGTAGGTCACCACTAAGGCCCAGCTTCAGCCAGACCACCATCCCCATCATCCCTGTTCCCAGCCCAGCCAGACGTGCAAGGTGCCAGGCCACCAGGCCCTCCTGCAATGAGGCTCTCCCCATCAAGCCCATCAGACCCTGCCCCTCACACACTCCACCCAAGCAAGCCGCCCTTAGGGCCTGCTCTCCTGCCCCCATCCCTAACCAAAGAGACCAGCATGTGCCCCACAGGGGTTCTCCTGAACTCAGCCTTAGATGGAGCCTGCCCAGGCATTCACAGGGAGCCAGGACATGCATGTGAAACTTGCACCCCAACGGTCACACCCCTGGGAAGAAAGGCAGGTCTTGTGGCTGTCCCCAAAGGTATGGACAAAGCCCAGGAGAGGCTGAGGCCTTTCCACAGTCCAGATGTAGAGCTGCCTCCCCCTCCCATCCAGGTGTCTGCAACCCAGCTGCGCTGTCCCTAGGAAGGGAGCCACCTCTGCCCAGTCCAGCCCTCCCCTATGTGGTAGCCCTAGCTCCCTCTCTCCTATCTCCATGCATTTCCTGCACATACTAGCCTCGCCATTCTCCTGCCCTTCTCTGTATGACCTCCCACCATTTGGCCCCTTCTCCCTAGGGCTTCTGATGACCTTGCTACTGCAGCCCAACTCCCAGCCACAGCTCTTTTTCTCCATTTTACATGGGACCTTCTCTAGCACATGTTCTTGTCCCACCAGTCATGCCTCCCCAGCCACCTCTCCTAGCTGTTGCTGATAAGCACCCATCCATCCACTTCTAGCCCCAAGCTGAGCACTTCTTTCAGTCCCAGGAGGCTCTGGGTCATATGACCAGCACCATATGCTATGCCAACCAGCAAAGACCCCACGCTTTTGGGGGTCTGCTGCCCTACCACTCAGCCCTTAAGGCCTGACCCGCACCCAGGAGCTTCTTCCAGGACTTGATGAGAGACTTGGCCAGTGCAATGACCTCCTCGTCCGAGCTCTGCTTCCTCAGGGCGTTGACAGACATTCCAACACGGGTAGACTGTAAGGCAAGCAGCCTGGGTTGGGAGGTGGTAGGGGTCCACCCCAGGGGCCACACCCACAAGGTAGGGGCTGGGGACTGGTCCAGAAGTAAAACTGTCCCATTTGGAACCCAGGCCAGGATGAGATCTCAGGCATCCCCTCCCAGACTTCTCAAGTACCAGAAAAAGGCAAGAACCCTCTCCTCAGAACAGGTGTTTGTGACCATCAAGCCCTGGGTGGGGAGAGCCACAGAATCCCTGCCAGGATGCCCTTGGCACTGCTGTCCCCCGAGCTGTCCCAGGTTGGGGCAGGCAGGGCCTACCTGGAGCAGGTGCAGCGTGATAGGCATGGCCTTCAGCTCCCGCAGCAGGTCCATGGCTCCCTCCTGGAAGGAGAAGGGACCTTCATAAAGGACTTTAGACCTCATTGGCCTATTCTACCTCCTACTGCCCACTGGAAGGACAAAAAACAATTTGGACATCAGAAGGAAACCACAATGCCTCTACCTGAAATAACTAGGGCTCTGCACACTTGTTCTTGTACTGTAGCAGGCTCCTTACACCCCCCAACCCAGGAAGGAGTAAGAAAAAAAGCAAGTCTGCAGTCTTGCTCCTCACAGCTCACATGGCTCCCCAAACTGAATCCATAGTAACAACTTTCCTGACCTCACTATAACTACTCCAGGTCACTGACCAAACCACAAGAGCAGAAATGCCACATCCCCTCCCCATTATACTGGAGTGGAGGGGCAGCCCAGGTTCACTGGCCCCATCCCATCCATTCTCCAGTGGGTAGGGCAGCTGCTCCCCTAAAGCTCTCATTGCCGCGTGGGTGGGCGGGGGTGCTGACCCTAAAGATACCCCCACTCAGGTCACAGCCGCAGCCAGCACCAAGGCCCACAGCTGGCCACCACTCCTCTGGATGTTGCAACAGACCTCCCTGGTTTCTCTCCTCTGCTTTGTCCAAGATCTTCATTCCTCAAAGTCCTCAGAGTCTATGCAGACAGGCCATCCCTCCATAGCAGCCAGGCTCTTCAGTGTTCTTGGAAGGGCAAGTGACCACCCCAGGACTCTTGCCCCTGAAGGCGCTCTGCCCCAACAGCCCTTCCAGCACACTGACAAGGCTCACGTCCCCCAAAACTCTGTTTGAACACCTTTTCTTACTTAGAACTGGACGGGCTCATGCAGGACCCCCACCCTGTCCTTCTCTGCTGCCTTCCACAGACCCCAGCACTTGATCCTGTGTGTTCATGTGAATGTCTCCTCTCGCCACAAGGGGGCAGACAACCCACCCCTCCACTCAGATGTCCTGCAGCTCAGAGTGTGGGAGGAGTTGGAAAAACACCCGCCACCCCCGGCAATCTGTGTGGCTTCTCTGCTCAGGCTGAAGGTCCTCCACAGCCCCAGCAGGTCCTGCCCCCTTGACTGTGGAAAGACCGGCACGAGGTGACCTCCTCAGAGAACAGATGATCCCCAGAGCTGCTCTTGCCAACAGCAGACCCTGAGCACTGGGTAACGCAGCTTCTAGACTGGACTGAGGACCACTTGCATACAAACTCCTAAACATGCCCCACCTCCTCAACAGGCCTCTTAGGTGCTGCAGGCCCCCTGGGCCTCTGCAGGCGTCCACCCCCAGTCTACAGGGTCTCTTCCTCCTGGGCTCCTATGCATGCTGTGCTTCCATCAACCCCTCGTTGGGTTCCCAACCCATTTCTGCCCCTACCCACCTCACAGATTTGTAGTTCGGTTTTGTCACCTTCAAGGAAACACCTCCCTTCTCTGACCAGGTCACTACCACCCTGACTCTGCTGTCCATGGCGCCCAGGGGTGAGTGCAGCCACGGAGGGATTATTTCCAGCACAGATGGATGTACTGCTCCTCTCCCAGTGTAGACCCCGGCCAGGAACCCCACCCAACACCAGTGCAGGCTCAACCCTGCACACTGACAAGAGCCGCCCCTCTACCCCCACTGCAGGCACAGCCCAGGGAAAGCCGTGCGGGCCTCAAAAGCCGGTGACTCAGCTCCTCACCGTGAGGGCTCCCCCAGGAACCATCTCCTGGAGGGCAAGTCATGTTTAGGAGCTTGTCCACTACCTCTCCGATCCCTCCCCACCCACACCAGGCAGGACGCAGGGTGCTCCCCGAAACGCTGCGAGGGTTGTCAATGTCAAAAGCTGGGCTGGACCTGGGAGGCTGCACACACCACCTCGGAGGCTCAGCGCCAGGCAGGCAGGGGGCCAGGCGGCAGGGGCAAGGCCGGCCCTCCTCTGGGGTCTCTTAAAGCCCACAGGCTCTTCCCAGCCTCTCTATCGTCTGCCCACACCGACTGGTTTCTGGCTAAGGGAGGGAAACAGTTTATTAGAGAAACCTGGTTCTTGTAGGATGGGGACAGACAGGGAGAAAAGGGGCCCCTCGGCCGACCGAGGGGCCCATGAGGGCCGGGCGGGCGGGCGGGCGGGCGGGCGGCCTGCGGGTCTCGGCCCGCACAGCGTTCAGTCCAGAGCGGCAGTCCCGGGACAAGTGGAGGGCGGACCCCGGGCGGGGGTCTCAGCCGGGGCGGGGTCTTGTCCTGCCCGCAGCGGGCTCAACCAGGTGTCGTCAGGGCGGGGGTCCCAGGGTCCTGGCGGCCCGCGCCCCTCACCGCGCTCTTCCTGGTCACCATCTTGTCCAGCCTCCGGGCGATTCGCGCGATCTCCTCTTCCTTGCCCATCATCGCCTCTGGGGTAGCGCCCGCGCCCGCTCTGCCGACCGCCCCGGCAGACCCCAGCCGCCGCCGCCGCCGCCGCAGCTGCCGAGACCCTAGGTCCAAACCCCCGCCCCGCAGCCGCGCGCGGTATACTGGGACGCGGTCCCGCCCCGCGGACCACAACTCCCAGACGCCCCGGCGGCGCGCGCGGCCTCCTGGGAAGCATAGTCTCGACCCGGCCGCGGGACGAGCCGGGCCGCAATAGCGCTAGGTACTCCTACAGGAGGGAGCCGGGACGGGGTGTGTGGTGTGAACTCTGCCCACTCGCGCGGCTCTCCCTGACGCCCAAGGCACCAAGCGGCACCCAGAACCAGGGCCCGCTGCTCCGACCCCTACATCACTACCTTTCGGCCCTTCTGACCCAGCACAAACCCTTCCCACCGTGCCTGTCGTTCTTCGCGCAGATTCCCTGCCAAGATGCCTACACAGGTTGGGAGGGGAGAGGGACAGTAGCTGGATGTGTGGGAAGGGATCCGAGCTGGGATGGAGAAGGGACCCGGGACCCTTCGGAGGCTGCATGGACAGGGCCCCTCCCTCCCGAGGGTAGCCTGTGGCGGCGGCATACAGATCCCAGGCTCTGCACCGAACAGTTCCACGGGGACCACAGAGCCCACCTTACAGCACTGCTGTCAGGTCGATGTGAGCTAATTCACACCACAGACTGGGCACGGGGCAGGGAAGTTCGCAGCACTGCTGCGAGAGAGCCTTAGGAAGAGCCAGATGCCCTCCCCCAAAGGGATGACCAGGCCAGGGAGGAGGAGAAGCATAGGGCCAGTATCCCCACCACTGCCTGCCACCTCCTCAGTGATGCAGATGCTGGGGTGTGCTGGAGGAACACAATTCTGGGGAAGAGCACAGGCCAAAGAGCTAGTATCTGTAGTGTACCCCCCATTACTGAAATGCACGCCAAAAATCATGAGGTGAGATGGCAGGTGGGATGTCTCAATAGCCTGGGCTAACAGTGCCTTGGGTTCTCAGTGTCATTAACTAGATATATTGAGTTTCCCAGGAGCGAGCATGGAATCCCTTGTAAGTAACAGCTTTTCCAAGGCAGTGGCCTCCCACAGCCTCCACACCTGCACAGCTCTCCCCTTTCCTTCGAGCTGGGGTCCTATCTCGGTCCAGCCCAGGAAGCAAGTCTTGTGACCAGAAGCCTGTGCTGGACATGAGTAAAGGCTCTAAGGGTCAGGTGTACCAGGGACACCTAGGGAGGTTGCAGCCATACACCCTTAAACCACCCTTTTGATGAATGATAACTGACCACTCCAAAGAGCTGACATGTGTCCTACAGACCCCACTGTGGGGCTGCCCTTGTGCAACGACCAGTAAGAACCCCAGAATATGCGGCTTTGCAGCTCCAGACTGCAAGGGCTTAGCCAGCCCGCAAAAATCCACAAGGTCATGTCCATGAAAGCTGCCCAGCCAGCCCTAGGAGATACAGACTTCTCAAGGCTGAGCTGATTCAAAGACCACCTGAAGGGAGCCCACCTCCAAGCTGGTGCATCCCTCTGACCACTGGAACTGGGGGTCCTACAGCACTGGCAGAGGCTGGCCACAGAAAGGCCGCTCTGCTGATACAGGCAGTATTAGCCCAGAACTGGGCAGGCAGGTGTGCTCCCACGTGACACTAAGATGCACATCGGAAAGGAGGGAGGGCTAAGGTGGATCTCCTGGAGCCATTGCCTTTCTGCCAGAGGAGTTTGCAGATCCCTGGCTGGGAGGTAGGGTGGGCATACACCCTGAGAAGCTTGCCTTCAGGGACCCATCTGATTTCCCCACATAAAGGATAAGCACAAAGTTTAGGGGAGAGGACCCACCCTTGACCCCACCTGGACAGGCTTACCTAGTAAGGAGACTTTTCTTCAGTTCTGATGCTATAGTTTCCTTTTTGTAATTTTTATTAGTATATGTTTGCAGTAAATATTGATTACATTCATTGTAGGGAATTGGTATGTGTACCTAACACATCCAAATTCTTTTTGCCCTTCCCCTCCATCCCTCCCCTTTTTTCTGCCAGAATCAGATTCATTTATGTATAAGTCCTTATAAAGTTAATTATCATACATACAGATTAACAGCCAGGCTAATTGGCAAAAAAATATCAAATACATAACTCAATTATACTAAATCAAGGTACACTATTAGATACTCTGTCCATGCTGGATTGCAATATCTTTTTTCTTTCTCTTTTTCCCCATTATCTCTTTTATTTTGCACCTTATTTATATATTGACTTTCACAGAAGAGAAGCCAGGCAATATTTAAGTTTGCATGTCTGACTTACTTCCCTTAACATTATGGCCCTAAACTGCATCCATTTTCCTCCAAATGACTCAAGTTTATCGTAAGGAGACTTTGTGAGTGATGCCTGATGCCCTTGTGTAGTGACTTTGGAAGTCCTATGAGGGAAGCCCCCAACCGAGGTAGGGTTCTGGGATCCTGTCCTCTGTGTAGATCAGAGGTGTGGGCCACAGGCCAGCCAGGGTACACTAAGACCAAGGCAAGAGGCCCAGGAAAGCTGGAGGGAGCATTCCAGGGCAGAGCGTATTTCCAGGTGGGGAGGTAGCAGGGTGGCCTGGAGTGTGTCTCCAGCCTACAACCTCAGCTAAGCTATGGAGAGGGAGAGAAACTGCACGGCAGAGCCAGTGCTGGGTGAAACGGAAGAGAAGAGCAGGATATGGTCTCAGGATGTGAAAGAAACTGGGGACATCATCTTCCCAGACTGCCCAAAGAAATGTACCCCACCCTCACTTAGGAACAAGCCCATGCACCATGTGTGGTCAGCAGGGTCTGGGGCTGACACTGTGGGCATCACTCGACCCCACATGTCCCCTGCTGCTGGCAAGTGCAGCGGTCACTGCACCCAGCAATACATGTTGTCTTTCAGTGAGATAGTAAAGCAGAGCTTGACTTCTAAATCACAAATTTTAGAACCATGGGTGATGGTGCATCCCTGTGATCCCAGCACTGGAGAGGCTGAGACAGGAGGATCACAGACCTGACTGTGAGTTCGAGGCCGCCCTAGACTACATATCGAGACCCTGTCTCAAAAAAAACAAAAAAAATCAATCAATCAATCACAAATTTTGGAGAACACTCATATGTTTGTTGGTATGATTGGTTTCCTTGCCAGTCCTTGCCAACCCAGGGTACTCTGTGCCCTGAGACAGGGAGTTGAGCAGGTGACACCAGCTGAGAACTAGGACTCTGCTCTCTAAAGCTAGAGTGGAAGTCCAAGACCATCTGTTCTGGGTCCATTCTCCTCCTCCATAAGGTGCCCGGTGGCCTGTGTTCTGGGGCCCTGGGAGGGCCACAAGAAACATTTTTTGAGGAGTCTGCCATGTCTCACTGGGTCTCCACTGAAGCCTGCAGAGGCTGCAGACAGAGGGATACCAGGCTACTCTAGCCCCTAAGAATGAAGACTAGGAGGCTGGCAGGCCCCCTGCACCAGGGTGGTACCCTGAGTGGGCCCAGCCTGCGGGGCTGCTCAGTGCATCCAGGCCTGACAGGTGTGGGCAGTGGCATGGTGGCCCAGCCCACAGCAGGAGCAAGCCAGTGGGAGGAAGGGAGTGGGCTGGACGGGTAGGGGTAGTGCAGGAGGAGGCAGGCTGGGCTGGGCTGAGGCTGACTGCCCCCAGTGATATGAGGAGCAGCAGCCTGTAGATGGCGGGAGTGAGCCACAGACCTGCTTAAACCTGGCTGCCACCCCTAGGGAAGTCCTGTGGGTTCCCAGCAGAGACCACACTGTCCAGCCATGACCATGAAGCCACCAGGGTGAAAATGTGGTCAGCGCCCTCGCTTGTGGGGTAGTGGCGCCAACCAACTCCAACACTCCCAGTCAGTCTTAGAAATGTTCATTCCCAGGCCCCACGTGAGCTCCTGACCTTTGGTGCCTTGCTCGGAGCAGTCACACCCCACCTCAGACCCCACCCTGGACCTGGACCCTTCTGAACTTCCTCCTCTACAGAGCTTTCCCAGACAACTTCCAGGGCCTGCAGACCCTCCCGTGTCCAGCCGCTGCACAAGTGACAACATGAGAGCCAGTGCAGCCTTCCTTGGGGCATTCATGGCAACAGGCACTGCCCATCCCTGACGCTACCTGGGCCCTGTGCAATGGGAAGGAAGGTGCCCACATACTCCTTCACACCCTCTAGTCCCTGAAGACTGGGAGCACAACAGCCTGGCATACAGGTGGGGGTCAGGACTCCCAAGGGGCACTTCACTCACCTGCCTGCCTGCCCCGGGGCCTCCTCCAGCTCCCAGGATGCCCAGGCTGGGGCTCCTCTGTGGTCCACCCTACCAGGAACCCTGGCAGAAGCCCCGCTCCTATGTCCCTTTCCTGGAGCTGAGCCCCAACCTTCCTTAGGGGCTTTGTCTCCTCCTGTAGGGTATTTTCTGTACTTGGTGCCTTTTTAAGAGAGATAAACTATGAATCTGCCCTCAGTAAACCTCAGTGAGTAACACAGCCCTGTCCTGGGGGCTTTAGGAGAAGAGGCCCGAGCTTGGAGGTTTGAAGGGGCTACTAAGGCCCTCACAGGGTCTAGGGGGTACCCCCAGGGTCCACCCCACTGGGCCAGCTGCACCTTTGGCCCAGAGCCCTCCCCTCCTCCATCCGTAGTTCAGGAAACAGCGGAAGCTGAGGCCATTTATTTTTCTATTTGTGTCCCCCACCCCCCCCCAAAGCTGGCCGTGACCCCAGTGACTAGCATCTGTGCTTCCCCTCTAGCTGAGGCAGGGCGGTGGTGGGAAGGCTCATGCTGCCAAACTCACACAGACCCCCCCCCATTTCCCATCACCATGCAGTGAGGGGCATCCTGCAGCCCCAGGAGTCCCTACCACCCAGCAATGGGAGGATGCAGTCTCAGTCCATCAGGCCCTCTAGGCCACCGTGGGGGCTGCAAGTCCCCACCACAGGGCTCTGTAGAGCTGTGACCTTAGCCAACTCCATCCAGGCCTCTCTTAGAGATCAGACAGGCAGTGGCCACAGACTTAGACACAGCTAGAGTTGCCTGCTGTGTGCAGGGAAGGCATGGAAGCTGACCCTGCTGCTGCAGGCTTTCCTGGTGTTGCTCCTAGCTCTCTGGACCTCAGTCCCACAGCC